TATGGTAGTGTAACTTTATGGTCTTTTTCTGAAGGAGCTGTGTAAGAGCAGAATCATTTGAATCAACAGAAGGTGAAAAATCAAGCAGAGAAATTCAGTTTGATTCTCAGAGCTGCCCAGACCAGAGAAAGTTCTACGTTGCAGACATGTAGATACCCGTCATGGAACTACTTCTCAATAAAATTCTCAGTAACCCACTATACCAACCTAAACTGCCAGCTGAACTCTGCATCCAGTAATCTGAGCCTGATTTGTGACAGGCGGCCCCCAAACCCCAAAAAGCAGAAGACTGCAGTCATAAACTTTCTTAATGCTTGTCCTTTCTTGAGATCCCTGTGAGCCGGAGACTGTGCTATGACACTTTACGTGCATTACCTAACTTCTTTAGGACAACCCGAAAGAAGCAGGTACAACTCTAATCAACTCTGAGCTAGTGACTACATGGAGAGCTCATCTCTCAGGTTACTCAGTAGATAGTTGGAGCTAGTAGATAGTTGGATAGTAGTAGATAGTTGGAGCTCTTCCAAATTATTTGAAATTTACAGGATGACCAGGCAAATAAAGAGACATTCCCTCTCCTCTTAGAGAAGGAGGAAACGTTTAACCACTTGGGAAGTGAGCCAAAGGTCAAGGCAAAGAGCCCCAAGAGGTTACAGAGAAAAAGGGCAGAAGGAAAAGATCCAGAAGAGTTGGCAAAGGCAACTCAGTCCGGTATCCTGGAATTTCAGGGGATATAATTTTTCACTGATCTCTCTGCACAACTTTAAATGAGAACTCTGGAGAAGAATGTGGATTTTTTGTTGTTACTATTAAAAATAATTCTTCCCTGTCATACCTAAATCTATGATAAAAACCTTTATATGAATTCTATTTTTATTTTTATTTTTTAATTTTTTTAAAGTAATTCTTTTTTTTTTAAGATTTTATTTATTTATGATAGACATAGAGAGAGAGAGGCAGAGACACAGGCAGAGGGAGAGGCAAGCTCCATGCAGGGAGCCCGGGACTCCAGGATTGAACCCTGGGCCAAAGATCCCCTGAATTCTATTTTTAAAAAAATTATGGCACATCTGTTGCAAGTTGCCTACTAGTTGAGAGCCATTCTCCCTGACCCAAAACCCCAATGTTATGGCTGTGGCAACACACGTTGTTGAAAGGTCCCTCAAACCTTAAGGTGGTTTTAAGAGCCAGTTCTGACCAACAAAATGTAACTAGAAGTCTCCGTGGTGAGGTCTCTGGCTACTGTTTTCCTCATAAGAAGGAACAAACATAGTGGACATGCACTTTGAACTCTTCAACTATTGCCCCTCTTCCTGCCTAGAATGCAGATCTGATCTCTGGGGAACAACCAGCCATCTTGCAGCCATGGGAGCAAGTCACAGGCTCCAGACGGTGGAGCAGGAGGAGAGAAGGGGCCAGGGTAATGCAGGATGTTGCCCAGTGACTACACCTGCCCTGCTCTGCCCTCCATTGGACTTCTTGCTATTAGAAAAATCATGCCCAGGGCACCTGGGGGGCTCAGTCCGTTGGGCGTCTGACTCTTGGTTTGGCCTCAGGTCATGATCTCAGGGTTGTGAGATTGAGCCCCATGATGGGCTCAGTGAAGAGTCGGCTTGAGACCCTCTCTCTCTCTCCTTCTGCGCCTACCCTGCCTGTGCTCGCTCACATGAGCTCTCTTTCTAAAAAATAAATCCTAAAAAAAAAAAAAAAAAAAAAAAAAAAAAAGTTGGAGGAATGAAAGAGGTTGAATAACCTCTTAAGTCCTAGGGTTCACGTGTGGCCAAGCCAGCAAGCCAGGATTTCAATCCAGGCGTGGATGACCCCAAGGCCTGTGCTCTTATCCACTCTTCATAAGGAATGCTCACTGCACCCAGAAAAACATAAAAACTGCCTTGGATCACTACTAGTCTACCTATGGAACATGAGTCAGATCCTCCGAAGAGACTTCCAAGTCAGTTTGACAAGAGATCAGGCTCCCCTCCTCCTATGTGACTGCCCTTTAATAAAAATGGCAAAGCACTGTCCAATCATCACCTATTCACTAGTTTACTGAACAAACACACGTGTGTGCAGTGCTTTTCAGTTTACTGAAGCACTGTCAAAGGCACCTCTCTCTGAATCCCCACATCAACCTGGTGGTGTTGTTACCATCCCTTGACAGATAGTGAAATAGGGGATTAGAGAGATTAGTAGACTTGTTCAAGATCCAGGCAATTAGCAGAGCCCGGTCTCAAGCAAGCCTCGGTTTTCTGGTGCCAAGCCCTGTGTTCTCTCTACTCCAGCAGACTGCCTCTCTGCTTCCTCCACCAGAACGCCCAACCCCACCACCTTGCCTCAAAACAAACATTCCTACCTAATTCTACAGAAATTCTACTGTATGTCTGACAGCCCCCAGGTACCATGTTTACATTTTCATGGGTGGCTTCACCATAGAATATAGTTAGCAAGAGGACAAAAATAAATACATCAGGTCATACACTCAGAATTGGAATGTAAATGGGCACACACAAAAGTCTTGGGATCTAATTTTAGAAAGAAACAGCCGAAAAGTCCCACACAGCACAGTGAGCATCTGGCCCCGGGGGAGGTTGCCCACACCACTCTAAACCTCAATCAACCCAGGGAAAGAAGGAATCTTGATATTCTGACTGGCATGCCACTGTCAGAGGCACCAACCGGGTGAAGAACAGAATGACTTTTCAGCATGCTCTCCCAGGAAAATGATAAAGCCCAGAGGTAAATGTCGGGCATTCCAGAAAGGCTGAAATCCTTAAAAGTTCATCACAGTCTATGACTCGGAAGTTAGCTGCTCATAGTACTGACTCTCCCCTGGGAGCCAAAGGGAAGGTGATGGGTAGGTGAACAATGTCTAGAAGCTGATCCAGCCTAGAAGCTGATTTGGTGTGGGGGTTACACAGGGCCTCAGGACCATCACATCATTCCAGGATATCCCAGCCCACCACAAGGCCATCACCTAACCCCTACAGGTGGCTGGAACCTCCTTCACAATTATAAGATGTGTGAGTAGTCTTTCTGGCTGCCAGTGACCACAGGAATCTAAGTTCCATTATGACAGGAGATTTTTGTTTCTTTTGTTCACTGAAATATGCCAACTCTCTGCAATGGTGCCCGGCACATAGTAACCTTCAATAACTACTTGTTGAACGAATTACTGAAAGATTTGCTATTGGGATGGATCTTCCTATGTCTGCAGTCTAAAGTGGCCAGAGGCCAAGAGGAGACTTCCATTAACCTAGCTTTTGCTCTCAGAAGACATACACTACTGCAGTTCAAGCTCCCTGAGGCCCAGGGTTGGGTAGGATATGTGTTCTTTCACCATCTTCTTACATTATACCACCGTCCCCCTTAATTGGCCTCCAGTGCACCACTACCTACCCATCCCCCATCCTGCAACACTCTTCCCCAGCCTGTGATGGCCCTCATTGCACATCGTGTACTTCACCCCTGACCCCATGCTGTCAGCTGCATGCCTGTGCTAGGTACTGTGAGTGACAGGCTGCCTCCCAAAAACTCACCTCTTACAAGGGAGTCAGTCATGGAAACAATTAGAGTACAATGTAATAAGCACTATAATATATGGGCAGTGGCCAAAGTCATACATGGACAACCCTCAGGCCTAATCCAGCTCTTCTGGATGATTTAATTGTTATACTTAGTTGCTAACCTGTAAAAATGTGTTGCTTTCTCATAAAATTTTAGATTGCCAGCATCTCTCAGAAAATCAGAGGATCTGGCAATACTGGGCCTGTATTCCCCACAGCATCAGTCAGCTTTAGCTAGATAGTGGTTACCTCTTTACAGGGGACATGTGACCTCTGGTTCCTTCAGTCCAACTCCCAGACTTTCCCTCTGTCTCCAGGCAATGAGGCCAAGGGTCAGCCACCAGCTCCTCTGTGCTGGCATGACTGTTATCTGAAAGTAATGATTCCCTGCACCCACATTTCTACAGTAAGTGAGAAAGTAAAAGATAAATTTAAAAACCATGTGGAATGCTTACAGAAATGCTGGAGTACTTACTTTCTACGCAAAAGAAAGTGAAGAATATTCCTACCTATGCGATACATAAGTAAGTGTCCCTATGTATTGTCCCCAGCATGCTTTGCTTATGCACCTGCCTAGCTCCTTAGGCTTCTCAGTGTAGATGCCCTCATCTATTTTACACCTACCATGGCCAATGAACTAGGTAACTGAGAAGCCGTGTCCTGCTGTGTGGGAACTCACTGTCTAGTGGGGCCGACAGATACATAAAAAAAAATTAGCGTGCAATGTGAGAACATATAGATGTCCTGTAAGACACTCTATAGGCACCAAGGAGAAGGGTTCCTAAGGTAGCCCAGGGAAGTCAGGAAGAGCTGACAGACGAATTATCCTAAAACTGACTCTTGAAAAGAGTAAAATTTGTTCAAATGGACAGGAAGGTGCAAAGGGGCTGTGAGTAAACTGCCAAAAATAGTGCCCTGGCATTTAAAGTGTTGCTCATCAGGATTACCCACCCTCCACGGAGCAACTGGATAAATTCCCACAATTCCAGGCCACTCAGAAAAGTTTCCAGGAAAGCGAGGCCAGGACTAATCCCCTTCCTGCCTGAAAACTGTAGCAAGTGCAGGTCACCACTGAGAGCAAACATCCAGCTGTGTAATCCAACCTTACGTCACCAGCATGCCTCACTGGCATCTATTCGGCAGAAATAAAAACCTGGATTTCCACTGGATTTTCAAACTTCCCAGTCCCCTGCTTCAGCAAACTTAAGAATGTTCTTCACTGAGAACATAAAGCAATGCACAGAAACTATTCTGGCATCAAAGGAAAAACGTTCCTCTTTCATTTCTTACTAATAGGACAAACGCCAAGGAAGGGAATTCCCAAATCAAGATAGGAGGAAGGGCTGGCATTATAGAGAAGAAATATGGAATATCAAATCCTTGCTCATTAAGTAATTACTAACTCTTGGAAAACTTTTTTTTTTTTTAAATACTCACCTCTCCAGTCAGAATTGAAGAGTTCTTTCCACTGAGGTGATTCTCAACTTGAGATGATTCCTGTTGAGCTCGGCGACCCATCCTGGGCCCCTGTAAGGAGAGATGAGGAGCACTGCTGACCTAAACATCTTTGAGCCACTATGAGGATGGGAATTCTGGGAAGGTAAGCAAGGACAGGATTTATGATGACATGGAGGAGGATGGGATTTGAGTAAGTTGAATCTATTTTTCAAAAATGCTCCACACACTTAATACAAAGCACCTGACACCATTTCTATTTGCTAGGAAAACACAACATTCCTGGATTAATGATCACACGTTTCTCTTTTAACTGCCATAGATCTTTCCTACCCAAAGAAATGCACACAGACATTCCTTTAGAATGAACAGAGACCTCATGCCAAAGCTCAGGGAACGTGGTAAAGGCTCTCATGTTCCTATGCAGGATTCTAGAAAGGCCTCATTTCAAAGCTGCAGCTTGGCATGAAATTGTTATTAAAAAGGCTTTTTCAGGGAAAGAATTCCTAAAATGCATGGCAACTAGTACTAGAGAAATATAGACAGCATTTGCTTTGACGCATATACTAACTGGACGTGTGCATCGAAATAGCAAAGGAAATCTTTTACAAGAATTTTGAGACATCAGCTTCCGAAATCAGAACACTTTAAATTCTGAGTCATCAAATGAACCATCTGCAGGTGTTTCCCAAAGCCTTCCTGGGGTAGAGGCTCTGTGTCTCAAATGCTTCCCAGCACAGAAACAAAACTTTATTTAAGCAGACTAGTGGATGCTGAAATATTTCTATTTTCATATGTTGGCTTTTCTAAAACCAGCAGTAATATAAGCCCTTTTAGATCTCATTGGATGTGGCTTCCCTGGATTCTCACAGGGACTAGGACTGAGGCCATTTCACAAATGTGGAAAGCAGGGCCCAAGAAGGCAGGTAAGTGGCAGACGTAAATTGAAGAGCAAAATCTTCTGCCTTCAGATCCTCAGTTCTTTCCACTATCTCAGCCTGGAGTTTCAGTTTTCAGATATTCTAAGAACCGCCTGCACCAATACACTGAGAGGGGTTACACGTGGGTCGCCTAAAAACCCCTATGTACTGCTTACTTTTCCAATTCTTATCAATAATTTAGGTTCCAGGGATGACGGAAACCATCTTTCTGAGCAGCCACCCATTTTCTTCCCAAGGCAGATAATTCCGCCCGTTTGGCTATCACTCTTTCCCCTTTATCCGAACATTTAGTATCAGAACATGGCATACTACGTGTAGTTTTGCCAAAACAAAAATTAAATGATCTTGTCTCTAAATGCAGTTTACAGATGGTTTCTCTAATAACTGTTAAGTATTTTAAGGTTTTAAGCTTTTTGAAGATCCTGCCTAAATCCACAGGAATGACCTGTAGCAAAACTACTTTACTATATTTAAATGTACATCTATTGTAAATGTAGAGCCTGTTGATTGTCCATCTTCCCCCGCTGGATTGTAAGCCCTCCGAGGACAAGGAATTTGCTGCTTGTTGTTGCTGTTTAAGACTTTATTTTTTCTAAATAATTTCTATACCCAACGTGAGGCCTGAGATCAAGGGTCGCATGCTCCAGACTGAGCCAGCCAGGGACCCCTGTGGGTTTTTTTTTTGTTTTGTTTTGTTTTCACTGCTATAGCTCCAGCACCTAACACGGTGCCTGATACACAATGAGAACTCAGTATTTGTTGAAAGCATGAATGCATAACTACATTCTCAGAGACTAAAACAAGTTCACATATCAGAAAGACCCAGTAACCTGATACTCTATTTGGTCAGTCAAGCAACCTGCTTTATCCTAGAACACTATATTCTTGCCTCCAGGACCTTGGAGGATGGCTGATGTTACCAGGGCCCTTCAAAAGCACTTAGAGCCTCCATAGCAGAAGGTAAAAACCTGCTGCGTGCCCCAATCTTCTAGGGACTGTGATCTTGACAAATTTTTAAAGGTAAGAAAGGCTTGATGCTGGGGATCCCCGTGTGGCTCAGCAGTTTAGAGCCTGCCTTTGGCCTGGGGCGTGATCCTGGAGTCCCAGGATCGAATCCCACATTGGGCTCCCTCCATGGAGCCTGCTCCTCCCTCTGCCTCTGTGTGTGTGTGTGTGTGTGTGTGTGTGTGTATGTGTGTCTCATTGATAAATAAAATCGAAAAGAAAGAAAGAAGCTTGATGGGATGGTAATGGAGCTCAACAACATTAAGCCTGGGCCTTGAAGCTAGATCAATGATCTACTGACAATGTACATAAGTGGGTAAATCACAGCCTCAGGGATCCCTGGGTGGCGCAGCGGTTTGGCGCCTGCCTTTGGCCCAGGGCGCGATCCTGGAGACCCGGGATCGAATCCCACATCGGGCTCCCGGTGCATGGAGCCTGCTTCTCCCTCTGCCTATGTCTCTGCCTCTCTCTCTCTCTCTCTCTGTGACTATCATAAATAAATAAAAATTTAAAAAAAAATCACAGCCTCAGAAGCCACAGCAGCTAACTTCTAAGAACCTAGCACGTGCCAGGCACTGTATTAAATGCCTCCCATACACCACTCCATTTCACCTTCACCGAAGCACTTTGAAGTAGATGACATCTCCATTCTAGAGATAAGGAAACCGAGGTTGGGGAGGGTTCGTTTAATATTTGAAACCTGAGTACAGTTGACACACGATGTTAACTTTTTTTTTTTTTTAACCCCAGTAAGCAGCTTCACACTCCATTTGACCTCCAGGGCCCCCAGCACCTGGCCACTGCTCCACGTTATAAATCCTAAATCATAAACCTAAGGTCACGCCCACCCACCCCCGCCCGTGGGAACTGCGGGCAAGGAGAGGCCCTGCCAGCCGGCCTGCCAGCCTGCCTTCCATGCGTAAAACGCTGCGGTTCTGACATGAACTTCCGGCACGAGAAACGTGAGGGGGGGAGCCTTAGGGTGGGTGCAAGCGCGCCCCCGGCCAGGGCGCCCCCGGGCAGCCCCCCATACGCTCCTTCCAGGTGTGCTAGCACTGGGGGGCTCTAAAAGCGGAGCCTGGCTGGAGGCTCAGAGGCCGGCAGGGGCAGGTCCTGTCTTCCTGCTTTTAGAGAAGTTCAGAAAGAGCAAACCCCAGGCCCGCGGCGGCGGAGCCCACCGCGCCCCGGGGGCGGGGCAGCTGCCGCCGCCTCTTCCCGGGCCTCACCCCGCGCCCGCCCGCCCGCCCGCCCGCTGCGGCCACTGGGGACACGCCGGGCCGGGGCGCCTCCGGGAAGCCGGGCGGCCAGCTCGCTCCTCTCCACCCGCCAGATCCCAGCCCCCGGCCCCCAAGGCGGTCCTCACGGAGGTGGTCGAGCCGCGACGCCGCTCCCCGCCGAGGTCCAGCAGGTCCTCCATCTCCGCGGCCGCCTGACGTCATTTCCTGGAAACCCGGAGGCCCGGTCGCGTCCCTGGCGACGGCTCCGCCCCCCCCTTATCTCCATATTTAAAGGATCCGCGACATTATTCCTGGATTCTGTGCAACCACCTTTGAATTTAAACCCAAAACTTTCCTAAACTGCCTTGTCTGACTTCTGTTAAATTCCGCTAAGGCCGCTCCTAGGGGACAGTGAAAAAGAAATATATTAGCCTTTAGGAACTGTCTGCATTTGTAGCTCTTTCTAAATAGGTGTTAATTAAGAACAAAGCACTACCAGGAACAGTAGTGATTAAATCGATCCCTTCTATTTATATAGCCTTTCGCAATGAATAAAGGACTTTCAGACTTATTAGCTCCGGGAAGGGTATAATAACCTTATGTGAAAAACAAGGTGAGTCTCTTATCTCCATCAGACAGATAAGAAAACAGGCTCACAGGAGTGGGGAGTGGTCAGGGGCAAATAAATAGTTTCTAACAGAACATGCAAAATACATCATCTCTGCCTTCAAGAAGTTTACAGAGAGGCTGGACCAAGACGTCAAATACCAAAGTGATAACATTCAAAAGTCAAGTAATCCAGGGATCCCTGGGTGGCTCAGGGGTTCAACGGCTGCCTTTGGCTCAGGACGTGACCCTGGAGACCCACGTCGGGCTCCTGGCAGGCATGGAGCCTGCTTCTCCCTCTGCCTGTGTCTCTGCCTCTCTCTCTCTATCATAAATAAATAAAATCTTAAAAAAAAGTCAAGTAATCCCTCCAACAACTCCACAAAGTGAGCATCAGTGATACCTCTTATCCAGCAATTGAGGATGTAAGGTGCAAAGAGGTGGCTTGAGGGAAATCACCTGAGTGCCAAGCAGCAGAGCTTGATGCCTTTTTGATATCAGATCTTATAAGAGTATTTTTCTCCCGCACATATTACTGGGTGCCTGCCATACTCCTAGGCCAGCAGAGGAAGGTGTCCTTCAAATTGCCAACCTAATGGGGCAAGCGAGTTGAGTCTTCACTGACTCTCCATGTAAGATCCCTAAGTCAACACCAATGGCCAGGTCCCTGGTACTGGTCAGCTAGGGCCCCCAGAAGATGATCTCATGGGCCTGAAAGTGAGCAATATCCCCAATATCATGCTGTGGGTGAGGCCTAGATAACCATTGCTGAAAAGCAAGGACTTGAAAGTGGGAGTAGCAGCCCCTAAGGCTGGATTACAAGCTTCTTAAATACCCCTGAAATTACTCAATTTAATTGGTCATCCACATGTTTACTGGGTAGGGTTGTGTGCTAGCCTTGCAACAGCAATAGCACTGCTTACATGTCCCAAGAGTTGAGGTCTCTTCCTAGCGCTGCTGATAACTACCTGTGTGGCCAGGCAAAGCCCTCTCTGGACCTCAGTCTCCTCCCTGGTAATTGCTCTTAGAGATTTCCCCTAGGATCGGATTCTCACTGAGAATACCCGGTTAGATTTTAATCTGAAGAAATGTTCATTGCCAAAACCCAAGATAAATGAAATACTGGCTCCAATGAATCCTTAGTTTTCTTCTTCCTTGGCACCAGATGAGGAAGAAGGGATTAATCTTTGGATTTTTCCATCTTGTGTGAGCTCATAGCTACACTACTACCACCTTACTGGCAGTTTTCAGAACTTAACTCCCACTTCTTCCCTGACTTCCGGAAAACAAAAGGTGCATGGTACTTACTGAGCAGAAAGAAAACCTAGAGCGGTGGCTTCCAGACCTTGCCGAGCACCTGAATCACCTGTGAGGTTTGTTAAAAAAATACATGTGCCAGGGCCCCATCCCTGGAAACTGATTCGGTAGAGGTGGAGTCCCGGAAGGATACAACTTCAATAATTTTCCTCCTGTCTTGCAAGTGTTTGCTTAAAGGCCTCAGTAAAGTCTTCTCTGACACCCTATTTTAAGTTTCAACAGTCCCAACTGGGGCACTCCCTATTCTACTTCCCTGCTTTATATTCCACGGTGCACTTACCTTTTATCACAATACTTAATTACTCGGTTTATTGCCATTTCCCTACCCCTTCTCCCCCCTGGCCACATAAACTCCCTTAAGGGCAAGGATTTTGTTTTATTCACTGCTGCATCCCCAGAGCCCAGAACGGTGCCTGGCATACAGTGAAGGTCAAAATAGTTCTTTCTCAAAAGGTGGCTGAATTTCAGAGACAGTGTGGCGTAGGAAAATGTTTAGTCTCTGGCAATAGATTTCCTAGGTCCAACTCTGTGCTGACACCTACCAGCTCTAGGGTCTAGGTAAGCCCCTTTTAGGCTTTCTGCCCTAGTTGTCCTCACCTTATTCAAATGACAACAAGAGCCTGAGTTGAGTATCACCTCCACCACCCATCAGCAGGGTGGCCTTTCGAAAGAAAAAGAGAATCGCTCTGTGCTTTAGTTTCCTCAATGCAAACTGATCAACCCGTGTCCTGGGGGCTCAGCGAGCATCCCAGCGGCCTAGGAGCCGGGAGCAGAAGCAGAGCTCACAGGAAGGGTCCAGGAAGGCTGGGTGACGTGGGGTGGGGTGGCGGGGAGCAGCACTGAGTCCCAGGAAAGTGATCAATCCGGAGGCAAGTCCTGTGTTGCCGGGGGAAGCAACGTGCCTTGCCCTCCCTGAGCTCCTCGTGGGAAAAGCCCTAGCAGCTGAGGCGGAGGAGAGGAAGGAGAGCGAGCGCAGAGAGAAGACTTCCCCTCACCCATCTGGGAAATGGGCTGGGGCCAACTGCTGACTGCGCGCTCGCTGGCGCAGCTCCCCGCGGAGCCCGCGGCGGGGAGGGAGGCTGCGAACATCTGGAGGACATTTCTGGGAGAGCGGCTGCCGAGCGGGGCCCCGGGAAGAGAGAGGTGCACTTGTGCGCACGTCGGGCCGAGAGGGAGGCCGCCCCCGCCCCCGCCCGCGCCCCGCGCCCCCGCCCCCCGGCTCGCGGCTCGATCCCGCCGCCCTCTCCCGCCGCCCCTGCCCCCAGCCCCCAGCCCACCCTCCCGGGCGTCCCGGCCCCGGCCCGCCGCGCTCCTTCACTGGCGCCCTCGCCTCGCCAGAGGGCACCCTCGATCTGCCGGAAAACACCACCATTTTCAATGGCCCTGGAGCATCTCCAAGCCTCAGCCCGCCGCCCGACTCCAGGCTTGTCAGTGGAGGGAGAGTCGCGGCCAGGAGCGCCGCGGAGCCCAGCCCACCTCCGACCCGGCTCCCCGGCCGGGCGTCGCCCCCCGCCCACCCCGCACCCCGCACCCCGCACCCCGCACCCCCGAGGCGGGGCACGGCCGCGCCTGCGCAGCCCCGCGCGCGCCCCTGCCCGGAGCGCAGCCGGGCCCGGGGGCGGCCGGGGGCGAGGTCGGGGTGCGGGGGGCGGCGGTGGTGCGGGGGCTGGTGGTGCGCGGGGGCCCGGAGAGGAGGCCTGACAGCTGGCGCGAGCGCGGCGGAGCTGGGGGAGAAGGAGGGAAGGGATTCGTCGGAGTAACTTTCCAGAAAAACAGTCAACGTGTAGCAGGAGTGACTCCAAGAGGGGAAAAAAAGTTCAGTTACCACGTAGAACGAGAGGACTCGCAAAGTATTTTTCAAATGGGCTCGGCTTTTCCTGTGCCTGTTTAAAACATTAAAATCGTGCAGCAGAGGAGGCTGCGTGCGCTGGTCCCTCCCTCCCCCACCCGGGCCAGAGACGTCATGGGAGGGAGGTATAAAATTTCAGCAGAGAGAAATAGAGAAAGCAGTGTGTGTGCATGTGTGTGTGAGAGAGGGAGAGGGAGAGGAGCGAGAGGGAGCGAGGGCGAGGGAGAAGGAGAGGGAGAAGCAGCAAGGAGAGGAAGGGAGGGAAAGCATAAAGCCAAGGCCAAGGGAATGAGCCGGACAGGGGAGGCAGAGATAGGCGGAGAAGCCTGAGAAAGAAGGAATAACAGCTTTCCGGAGCAGGCGTGCAGGGAACTGGCTGCTATTTTCTTTTTTTCTCTTCCTTTTTATTTTTTAAAGAGAAGCAGGGAACAGAAGCAATGGCCGAGGGAGAAGACAAGCCGAGGTGCTGGTGACCCTGGGCGTCCAAGTGGATTATTGGGGCTGCTCTCCAGGGGCCTGTTCTCTCTGCCTTCCAATTACACATACCCCCACTTCCCAGCCAATGAAGACGAGAGGCAGCGTGAACAAAGTCATTTAGAAAGCCCCCGGGGAAGTGTAAACAAAAGAGAAAGCATGAATGGTGTGCCCGAGAGACAAGTGTGTCCTGCGCTGCCCCCACCTTTAGCTGGACCAGCGCAGCCGGGCCCTGCCTGTCCCCACCTACTCACTGGTGATCTGACTTTTTTTTAGACATTTTTTTTTCCCTTTTCTTTTCCATTCTCTTTTCTTATCCTCCTTCAGGGCAAGGCGAGGATTTTGATTTTGGGACCCAGCCATGGTCCTTCTGCTCCTTCTTTAAAATACCCACTTTCTCCCCATCGCCAAGCGACATTTGGCAATATCAGATATCCGCTCTATTTATTTTTACCTAAGGAAAAACTCCAGCTCCCTTCCCACTCCCAGCTGCCTTGCCACCCCTCCCAGCCCTCTGCTTGCCCTCCACCTGGCCTGCTGGGAGTCAGAGCCCAGCAGAACCTGTTTAGACACATGGAGAAGAAACCCAGAGCTACAAGGCGCACAGTCGGCTTCTTCGTGCTCAGGGTTGCCAGCGCTTCCTGGAAGTCCTGAAGCTCTCACAGTGCAGTGAGTTCATGCACCTTCTTGCCAAGCCTCAGTCTTCGGGATCTAGGGAGGCCGCCCGGTTTTCCTCCCTCCTTCTGCACGACTGCTGGGGTCTCCTCCTCGCCAGGCCTTGCAGCCCCCCGGCCTCTCTCCCCAGCTTGCGCATGAAGATGCACTTGCAAAGGGCTCTGGTGGTCCTGGCCCTGCTGAACTTTGCCACGGTCAGCCTCTCTCTGTCCACTTGCACCACCTTGGACTTTGGCCACATCAAGAAGAAGAGGGTGGAAGCCATTAGGGGACAGATCTTGAGCAAACTCAGACTCACCAGTCCCCCCGAGCCATCGGTGATGACCCACGTCCCCTACCAGGTCCTGGCCCTTTACAACAGCACCCGGGAGCTGCTGGAGGAGATGCAGGGAGAGAGGGAGGACAGCTGTACTCAGGAAAACACCGAGTCGGAGTACTATGCCAAAGAAATCCATAAATTCGACATGATCCAGGGGCTGGCGGAGCACAGTAAGTCCAAATTCTTGCTGGGGTGTCTGCTCCGAAGGGTCTGAGCTGGAGTAGGGAGTCCACGGAGCGGGGGTGGGGGCGGGTGGTGTGCTTGCAGTGGCCTGAGAGCAGGGTGCCCTGGGGTTCACCCACACCGAGGCTCAGGACGTGCGATGCCCAGTAGGGGCTGGGTAGGTGGGTGCGGAGGGAGACAGAGCCATTCTGGTAAGAGCCCGGTGCTTCTGGGAGGCCCGGAGCCCTGGAGTTGAGTGGCTTGCTGAACTCCCATCACATCCTTGACTGATTTTCCTGTGGAATTACATCAGGCTGTTCTGTTAACATCTGTGCTCTGGCACGTGTGATGGGGTAGGTAGCTGGGAGCACAGGGGGGCCCCAGAGGGACAGGGGCCAGTTCTCTTGAAAGCCCTGATGGCCCCACGAGTCTGGAGATCTCGCTCTTCTCCCTTGTTTTCACAACTCATTGTGACACGTCTTTGGTTTAGTTTTTCCAGTTCTTGGGAAGAAGGGTATACCTGCTCCAGAGTAATGTCTGTCAAGCTTTTGGAAGCCCAGGCAAGAGGCAGCCTCTTGCCATCTAGGCCCTTCCGTCTCTGCCACACACGTGACCCACGGGAGCCGTGAGCATGACTGAAGGGTACGCACCTATGCCCTCATGTGCATGTGCTTGCGGCCGATGTGCAATCTGGCTTTGTACAGTAGACAGATTCATGTGCTCAAAATGGGCGTCTTCCAGGCCTGTGGACATGGGGAAAGCAGGGTTGTGGCTCTGGACGTGTAGATGATTGCTGGCCGCCCTTCTGTGTCTGCGTGTCACGGGAAGAGTGGGTGGGAGGTGTGGCTGTGGGTGCAGAGAGGACATGTGTCTGGGAGTGTGTCCTCCCAGGAGGCTCCCGTCTGTGCCGAGAAGCTGGGAGGCTTCTGGGTGAGACGTCTGTGTGTGTGTTTGTACACGTGTGGAAGTCATGTGTGTTTACTGAACGGACATTTAAAAAACCTCAATACAAGAGAGAGAGATTTGGCAGATGTTGAGAAACTGACAGCCCGAGAAGGAGGAATGTGAGCCACTCTGGGCCAGGGACCCTGGGAGCAGCTCTGTTTGCTTTTCCTACCAGCAGGTGTCCTCGCCACCCTGACTACCTCTTCCCTGGCTCACCTGGCAGTGGGGAGTAGGGGCGGAAGGGTGGGAGGAAGCAGGCTGGGTGCGGGGGGCCAGGGGGGCACTGCAGGGGTTGAAAGGAAGCTGGCTAAAGAGAAGGAAGAGGAGTAGGTGGCTAGTGGGTGGAGCAGCTCTAGCTGAAGGTGCAAAAGGCCCTATGCCAGCTCCAGGAGCCTGTGGTTACTGGCCAGGGGTTCCCACTCCCGTTTCCGGTGGCGGCCTGGAGCGCCTTGCCTAGGATGTGGCTACCGTGTGGGGCCGAAGCCTGAGTACGAGGCAAGAGTTAGTACCCTAGCTGGGCGCACGCTCCCGGGCCTCCTCCAGGCGGGGCTGGCTCTGGTCGGCCCAGGGCCTACGGTTTCCAAAGGCACCAGCACCAGGATGGCTGAAACCCCCAACCCCTGGGCAACCACCGAGTCAGGACATAGTGGGCTCGGATATAGAGAGCTGAGGCCTGCAGGAGAGGTCTGAAGAGAGCCCAGGGTGAGGGACCTTAAGGATCCGGGTCAGGAGGTGGAGTCCCAGGGAGGAGGGACTGTGAGTCACCAGGGCCCATCCAGCCTGGAATGCCACACCGAGAATGAATGGGCCAGGTGTACACGAGGGCATCGAGGCGCCAGGGACATTGGTTTCGTACAGAGACTCAGGGCACAGATGGTGGGCAGCCTTGGGGAAAGCCAGGGCAAGGGCATGCGAATGCTGTGCAGCTCCGCCAGCGGCACCAGGACCTGGCGACTGTGGCAGCTCGGGGGCCACAGAGCCTAAGCAGGCTGGGAGCAAATCCGGCGCAGGGAGCAGGATGCTCTGTGGGATATCCTGGAGGAGCCAGGGCCCCGTGGGACATGGGTGATGCCACGGAGGCTCGCAGGTGCAAACAGGAAGCGGGCCCAGACTCTCTGCAGCTGTTGGAGGTGACACAGAGGCTGAGCAGACATGGCTTGGGCCCGCCCTGCAGCTGGTCAGGTGCTGAGCCAGCCCTGGAGAGGCAGATGCAGAAGACACGCTAATTAGAAAGAAGGCAGTGGGCAGATGCCGAGCAGGAGCAGAAGGCCGTCCTCAGAGGCTTGGCACAAGGGAAGCCTGTCCTGAGCTTGTGAGGGCCTGGCCAGGAGAGCCTCTGGGTCTGTGGGGGGATGCCGGCAGGCTCTGGGTGCCAGAGCTTCTGGGGGAGTGATGAGATCGCGTTCTCTTCCACATGTCATCATTCCCAGCCAGCCTGCTCCCTAGAGGGGAGAAACAGCTGGAGGTGGCGCAAGGGGATCGGGGAGTCTGGAGGGCGAAGTGTGGCAAGGAATAATTTCCAGTGGTGCAGGAGAAAGGGTGCCAAGGTGAGCAAAGAGGAGAGGGCCCGTCCCCTGGCTCCACCCTGTCAGATAGGGACCCTGATTCAGAAACAAAAACTTGCATCAGTTAAAGAATTTGCCTCAAAGAGCAGGGATTCTAACCTGAACATTTTGTCTGCACAATGCACGTTGTTAGGCACTAATGCCAGTGTGTCAAACAAGCATTGTTAAGTCCCATCTTTAACCTTAAGGCTTCAATAGCATTTTGATTTACAACACAAATAAATCACTTATTGGACCAAGTGGGGTGGGGGGTGGGGGGTGGGTAGGAGCTCTTAGTAACCCTGGGGGCAGACTGCCCAGGGACCACTGGGTGTGTCCTTTCTTGCCTCCGCCTGTTATGGCCAGGAGATTCACACCACCACAGATGTTCTCCCAAATTCAACCAAAGGGTTTTCTTTGTCTAACAAAGAGGCTCGAGCTGGTTAAGTAGCCACACCAGGTGGCATTGGGCAGGTCATCTCTCTGAGGCCAGTTTTCTCATCTGTAAAGTCAGAGATCATCTCCAAACTGTCTTGCAGCTGAAACAATTTTGTGTATACATCTGGGATGATTCAACAGTCTCCGCACGGAAGGCAAGACTCTGTAAATCCTTTTATAATTCACCAGGAGTTGGCTGTGTAGAGGCTCTCTCTGACACACGTGGTCGTGGGGGTGGGAGGAGACACAGCCTTCTCCATTCCTTTGTCATCCCTGTTATCAAGATATCACCAGTGTGGGTGTCATTTTAACTTCTCGCTTATAATTATCTGTGGCTGGTGGGAGACTTGTTTTCATCCAAGGGTGGCGCTAAGACAACCAGCAGACTGAGAGATCCTGAGCAGAGAGAAAACTTGATATGTTAGCCTTTCTTTCCTGGATGCTACATTTAGATTGTGCTCATTCTGAAAATTAAAAGACATTTCGTATCCCCAGAACTCATTTGTTCTGTGTGCCAATGCCCTCTGCACGCTAGGTCAGCGTTTCTCCAAGAATGGTCCAGGGGCTACATGAGTGTGAAAAATGTGGATTCCCAGGCCAACCTCACCCTTACAGAATCAGAATCTGCGGGTGGGGTCCTGGGGAATCTGTATTTCTGAAAAGTGCCCCATTGATTCCTAAGGCCACCGAAGCTTAAGACTCCATGTACTAGGTGAACACCTTTCCTTAAGGGGCTGCAAACATGGTGCGCACAGAGGCCAGCCAGCTAATGCAAAGGATGTGGAAGAAAAGCCTCAGCACCAGCACCAGGCCAAAGCATATGGGACACTTGGCCTTGGGGTTGAGGGTGTGTGGGAAGCTGATGGGAGGTGGGGGGAGCCAGAGGCACCCATGCCCTGGTAAAAGAGGGCACCCACTGCCCGGTTCCTGGTAATTTTTGCATTTGGGAATGTGGGTCCAGCTTGACTGGACCTTGCTGTTTCCCAGAAGAGCAGAGAATCTGGATCTTTTTGTGAAAATTCCCAATTTTGAACCTGGGCTTAAAATCCTGATGGGCTTCTAATTCAAAGTTTCAAAAAAAAAAAAAAGATGCATTGGCCAAACTGCATGTCTAGTACATTTAAAGGCCAACCTATTTCAGGTTAAACCATCGAAGTGTAGTTTCTCAAACTTCCAGAACATCTGGAAGCCATGGTACCCTTTGCAGAGCACTATAAACTGTGGTTCTCAACCCTGGCTGCACATTAGAATCATCTGGAGAGGTTTAGAAAGAAAGAAAAAGAAAGAAAGAAAGAAAGAAAGAAAGAAAGAAAGAAAGAAAGAAAGAAAGAAAGAAAGAAAGCTAGCTCTGGACCCACCCACTCCAAGGTAGTCACCTATTTTTAAGGCTCTCCAGATGATTCTAATGTGCAGCCAGGGTGAAGAAGCAGCACAGAACCAGTGTACATATGTCGTCATTGGGACTAGCAGGATTTTACAGGCAGAAATGATGGATACAAGCAAAGGCACATCTAGGAGCCCTGGTGTTGGAAAACATTTTACAAGGCATGGTCGAAACATAGTCAGCTGTTTCCACATTTTGTTCATGAATACGCTACATGAACATTCTTTGCTTATTTTTCTCTCCCTATAGCAAAAAAAAAGAAAATGGTCTCCATCAGTATAAATATTTTTTGCATAGTCATGATTTAACTTTAAAGGTGGACCCTCTAGTCCAGCTCTCAGTCATACTGGCATCCTGCAGAAGCATGGCTGACCCACAGAACTTAGCAGGAATTGCCTGTTCCTTAGGCCTAGGCTGCTACTCTAGGCCCACTTCATGGGAGCTTTGATTTTGTTGGTGAAACTGTGACTCCACTAGATGATCACTTGGGACCCATCCCAACTTCCAGAGGTCCCACTTTAATAAAAGAGGGGTGGTCAGAAGACCTGGGCTCAAATACCAGCTCTGCCACCCACCAGCTGCGTGACCTTGGGATTAGTCCTTTAACTTTCTTGATGCTCATTTTTCTCCTTTGTAAAATGGTCAATTTGACTTATTCTCATTCTCCTCAAGGATTGTTAGAGGGTCAGGTGAGTTGGTAAGAGCTCTGTAAAATGTAAGGTGGTGTTAGTACAGTTGGTTTATTTACACTCTCAGTCCACAAATTATTAAAACATCATCATTATTCAGTGGATTTAATTGCCAAGAAGATTATATTTACGTTTTCTTTTCTTTCCTAGGCAGTTCTCTTGTAATCACTAGTAATTATGTCTGAGCTTTATTTGCTAGTGTCAATTTGCTTGCATCAACTAATTTATGTGTGGCCCGGCCAAGATCCCTCTGGACATCAGATTCTTCACCTGAAGAGGGTTGTACTAGATGAACCCTAATGTCCCTCTAACTCTGCTAGAAATCTGTAGGTTCCAGTGATTAAAAAAATAATAATAACCCTTCCCAGGGCACGTGCATGGCTCAGTGGGTTGAGCATCCCACTCTTGGTTTCAGCTCAGGTAGGTCCTGATCTCAGGGTTATGAGATGGAGCCCCACATCGGGCTCTCTGCTCAGCACAGAGTCTGCTTGGGATTCTCTCCCTCTCTCTCTTTCCATCTGCTCCTCCCCCTGTTGTGTGCTCATGCTCTGTCTCTCAAATAAATAAATAAAATCTTAAAAAAAAAAAAAAGATCCTTCCCACCTCCTTCTTGAAATCTCCTTGAAGTTCCCACCAAGAGGAGTCCATCTTAGGGAACAGATATCTGATCGATGGGCTGGAAGCAACAAAGGAACGATGGTCACAAGGGTGTCCTGAAGACCCTCTGAGCTCATCGCTGCCCCCTGTATCCTGGCCTCCCGCTGTCTTGACCCCTCTCTGACTCTGCTTACTGGCACGTGCCATTTCTGTTCCATTTTTCCTTTCCACAGCAACATGGACAAACTTCATTCCATCTTTCAGCAGTTACTGGAGGTGCTGTTATGACTGAAGCTACACTGATGACAGCTCCTTCGAGAACCAAGTGTGTCAGTACTTGCCAGTCCACGAGCTTCTCCGTGTCCAGAGGCTTCCAAACTGGCAAGCTGAAAAATTAAATTGCTATCACTGATGCCTCTCTCTGGTTCTATCTGACATGGTTGAGGGAAGAGTTGGCAGTATTTGTTCTTTCAAAGCCAGTTATTAATCAGGGCTTCATTAGCCGGCATTCACACATTTGTTTTCCTAACATCTGTTCCATTAATTTTCTAAGAATCAGTGTCAGGCCCACCAGATGGCAATTTCCAAAAACACTCACTCATCCTTTCCTAAAGATCAGTAGCGCATTTGCTTGTTTCCAGGCCTCTGATCCTTCCCGCCTTGTCCGTGACTTCCTACACCATCCCTCGGGGTGATTATGAGCTCATTCCAGCCATGTCCATTATGTGTGGAATCTGGGTCTATGGGCTTGAATTTCAAGTTCTGGCTATCGTTACCATTTGTGTAGAAAGTTCTTCTCTGGGTGTTAATGCTGCTCAGACCTTGAGGTTGTAAAGTGTACAGGAGAAAAAGACTGGCTCTTTCTTTTCTCTTCGTCTGGCCCTGAGGTGTGGGAAAGAGCATCTGCTGCCTTGTGTCTTGTGGACAGGGACGAAGAGGCCGGCAGGGTGACAGAGCTGGCATAGCATGTGCTGTCAAGGACAGAAACCTTTAGAAAGGAGCCGATGGGGATGGCCCGGCTCTGTCTGAAGAAACATCTGCGGCTGCACCAGGCCTGAGATGTGGGCTCTTTGCCATACCAGTGCTGCCTCGATGGGTCTAGAACGGGGTGTTAATGATGTCGCTGCACGGCTCTAACACTTTCCATGGCTCCCCACCGCTAATGGGATAAACTCCAACCTCTCAGTCTGACAGGTCAGCCTCCCCGTGGGCAGACCCCAATCTGCTGTCCTGACCTCGTCTTGGGGGCCCTCACCGGGCTGCTTCAGGTCCTCTCACTCATCTCCTCCCCTCCCTGCTTTGTTTCCAGCAGTCCTTCCATGAAAAATCCTCTTCCTCTGCACCCTCAAACCCTTTCCTCCTGCAGGACCCAGATCAAATGGTCCCTCTTCCCTCAAGTGCTCCCTGTTGTCTCCCTACTCTGATCTCTTTGCAGCAACCCCCCAGCTTCTCCAAAAGCCCTCAACACCTTCCTGCTGGTCCTGCTGTTTGAGTCTTTGTATTAATATCCTCCCCTGGATATGAATCTCCTGAAGGCAGGGGCATGTCTCTTCATTTTTGCTTCCCAGCGTCAGCACTATGCTTGGCACACAGTATGCGCTTACTACTACACAGGTCATGGATGAATGAATGCCGAAGGAACACAGGAATGGGTCAGCCAGCTGTGAGATGATTAAACTACTAGGGGGATTTGTTGCAATTTTTTGAGGATCTGTGTTTTCTAAGAGTAGTAAGGCAGCCTGGAGGGCCTGCTGGAGCTGAGATGTCCAGGCCTTGGGAGAGGGGTGATTGCCTTTGATGGCCAGTCATTGGCGCCATGTCCTGGGGCTCCCAGGTCTCCCTGCTCCTGGCTCAGGCCTGTGGTGTGATTGCAGGGTCACCAAGAGCTTCCTCCCATCTCCACCTGTAGGCCTGAGGCCTCGAGCCTCTAGGGAGGTCATGGGTGGGACCTTGGCCACTTGGTGAGTGTCCGTGGGCAGCACGTTGGCTCCTCTGGGTCTCATTCCCACCTTACCTCTCCTCGCTTGCTTGATCTCCTAGATGAGCTGGCCGTCTGCCCCAAAGGAATCACCTCCAAGGTTTTCCGCTTCAATGTGTCCTCAGTGGAGAAAAATGGAACCAACCTATTCCGGGCAGAATTCCGGGTCCTGCGGGTGCCCAACCCCAGCTCCAAGCGCAGCGAGCAGAGGATCGAGCTCTTCCAGGTGAGCCCCTCCCGGAACAGAAGACACGCACGCGGGAGAGCCAGCCCCTCTACCATTTTGGGCCTCTCCTCCCATGCAGAGTTCAGCAGCCCTGGGTGTGAATCCTGCCTTCTCGAACTTTCTGCATCTGTCTGTTCCGGTGAGGATGGAGCATTCACTACGGGGCTCGCAGGAGCCTTCAGGAAGTTTTAGTTTCCTGTTGCTCCCCTCACCTGTCCTCCTGCATTGTGACATATGCCGCGGTACTTGTCCCGGCCTGGGGTACTTACTCCCTTCTCTGCCCTCCAGATACTCCGGCCTGACGAGCACATCGCCAAACAGCGCTATATCGGCGGCAAGAATCTGCCCACCCGGGGCACCGCCGAGTGGCTGTCTTTTGACGTCACTGACACTGTGCGTGAATGGCTCTTGCGAAGAGGTAGGTGGACTCTTAGTCTTGAGTATTTTTGGAAGGAACCTCAGGTCCCTTGGTCATTCACGAAATAGAAGGAAGAGGACAAAACTAGAGGAGTCACAGGTCTGGGTTCAAGCTCTGGCTGCACCACCGGCTCGCCATGTCCCTCATTCATTCATTCATTCATTCAACCAGTGTTTATGCAGATGCTCGCTCAGCCAGGCCCTGGGGATGCAACAGTGAGCCAGACCCATGAGGTCCCTATCGCATGGGGCTTTTGTTCCGAGGGGAGAGACACTCAATAAACAAGAAAATGTATTGATGTATAGGAACCTCGGTGGTGAGTACCCCAAGAGATAGAGAGCTGTGGTAATGACGAGTGGGGTCCGACATGCAGTGCTCAGGGAAGCCCTCTGTGAGCAGGAATGTGTGCACCCAGGTCTGAGTAATGAGAAGGGCCAGTGTGGGAAGGTTACAATAAGGATGTGCCGGGCAGAGGAGGTGGTGAGGCCCAGGCCCCCAGGTGGCAGCAGGCATGATTTGTTCTGGCAGCAGCACACAGGCTGATGTGGGGGGAATGGAGAGAGCTGGGGGGGCCTGAGTTAGCTGAGGCCATATGACTTCGGACCTGGAAGGCCATGGTCAGGTTTTAGGACTTACTCAGTGTGTGATAAGAAGCCCTGGAGTATTATAAACAGGGCTGGGATATAAAATGAAGTGATTTATCTCTAAAAGACTCCTCTGGGGGTGCCTGGGTGGCTCAGTTGGTTGAGCACCTGTCTGCCTTCAGCCCAGGTCATGATCCCAGGGTCCTGGGGTTGAGCCCCAAGTCGGGCTCCCTGCTCAGCTGGGAGTCTGCTTCTCCCTCTCCCTCTGCTCCCCCACCCCCCACTCATACTCTCTTGAGTGCTCTCTTTCTCTCTGAAATAAATGAAATCTTTAAAAGAAAAAAAAAAGACTCTGATTTCCATGAAGTCAGAGGAAGGAGCAGGAAAACCAGTTAGGGGCCATCGCAGGAGCCCAGATGAGAAACATGGGGGCTTCAACTAGCATGGTAGCCACGGGCATGGAGATGATATGGATTTGTTGTCTATCTTGGAGGTCTAGCCCAGGGGATGGGCTGGTTAGGTGTGGGGTGTGAGGACAGGGGCATCTGGGATGGCTTCTGAGGTCATGGTAACACATACTGGCACGGGGAAGATTGGAAGAAGAGCAGGTTTGGGAGCAGGTTCTCTTGGGGTCCAACCAAGTTTGAAAGCTTGGTGGTTATCCAAGGAGAGCTGTCCAGTATGCATATCAAATGTCACATGTCCCAAATATCTGGCCCACTTGCTGTGTTTCCTCACCTGGAAAATCAGGTAATGGGTCCTTCCCTGCATACCTCATAGAGCCATTTTAGGGACCAGATGTATTTGAGAGAGCTCCATGGCTTTTATCCTGTCACACAAGAGTAAGCTTTTATTAGGTCAGATAAAGAAACTGAGGCCCAGAGAGGTTGAGTGACTTGGCCAGGGTCATCTGGCCTGGATCAGAACTGGAGTCTCCTTGGCACCACCATGCTTTGCTGTTATTCTCCTTCTTTGCTTTGGGGTACTGCCTGGACTGATGCTCGGAAGGGAGGGAGCGCCTGTGGCGGGTCCATCTGTCCCTTCTCCCTGTCTTGCCTGGAGTTTTATTCTATCATCAGCTGCTGTAGGGGCACCGTCCATCTGCATGCTGATGTCCAGAGTCCCAGGAGCAGGTGGGTCTTTTCTTGTCCTTGATGTTTTGAGAAAATTGTCCTGATGTTTTGGGGTCAAGTCACTAAGGCTTGGCCTAAATAATGTTTTACATTTAAGTCATGGTCAACAGTTTCTATTTTTAAAGTCAGGAGATTCACTAAAAAAACCTGGACTTCTGGATTTTCCAGAGAAACCGGAACATTTTCTGGTGACGATCCATGAGAGATGAGGAGTGGCCACCTCTCGAGGTGGGGTGTATGTTCTTCATGGCCCCATAGGCCCTACCAGGCCCCGATGTTCCCCAGGAGTGAGGCTGGCAGTCCCCACATAGCATGCTATGCTGGCTTGCTAACCTGCCTGGGCTCTGCAGGCATCCGAGTGTGCAGGTCCTCACCGAAGGGGCTTTACCTGGTGGCTCAGCCGGCCGATCGTGGGCAACTCCAGGGATACCCAGACATTCCATCCTATCCCCCCTACTGAGCACAAGGGCAAAAGCCTAGGAGCACCCACAGGACGAGGATCAGCCCTCGGCAGCACAGTTGGGAGTTCTGACTCAGACAGCACTCCACCTAGAGCCTGACATGGCTGCAGAGAGGAGAGGCTGGGGAAATTAATCTCTTAGCTTCCCTGTCTGATTTTGATCAGCTCCACCTGGATTTCTTTGAAGCCCTGGGCACTTGAAGGAGTTCTTATTTTCCCAGCTGCAGAGCTCAATGAGAAGTTTGCGTTGAGAATGATTTCCATCTTCCTCGAGACATCAAAAAGATAATTTCGTAATAAAACCTGTGGGTTCCCCCACCCACCATCCCCGCTGCTGCCAATTCTGAGGTTAGTTTTTCATGGAACCTTCAGTTCCCACTCAGGCAGATGCGCCCCGCCGCCTCGCGCAGGGGAATCACATACAGACCTTTACTTATGCAGAGCTCGTGAGTCTCTTCAGAGTTCGTGGCCCCAAACCAGGCAGCAGATGGACTCCAAATGGAGCAGTTGGCAGTGTGGACCGATGAGGAAACTGAGTCACATATATGGTCTTGTATTCGTTCAGCAGACATCTGAGAGCCCACTGGGCACTGGGTTGCCAGCTTGCCTTTTGGGTCCCAGAGCTGGCTGGAGCCCTATCTGGAGTGAGGGGCCCAGGTCCCACACCTTTGTGCTCTTGCTTCACTCAGTCTACAGTTTCTCCATGTTGCAGAGCCAGACATCCCCTGCCAGCCTGGGCAGGGAGCACAAGCAGCATCATAGCTCAGGATGGGGCGGGGGCCAGGGGGACACTGGGAAAACAAAGGCATCTTCCCTGGTGGTCTCTGTTACCCCCTCTTTGTCCCTCATTGTCTCTAATAATTAGGAGTGTGGCTCAGGCATCAGGTGTTTGGATCTTGGCGCTCCCCACTTACTGGCTGGGTACCCTGGGCAATCCATTTGGTTTCCCTTAGCCTCAGGGCCCTTATCTGTGTAACGGGGGTGGGTAATAATCAGTTCCTGCTTTGTAGGATAATTAGAAAGATTGAATGAGTTACTGCATGTGAAGTCTTACAGAGGTGCTTGACGTGTAATGCTCCACAAAAGCTGGTGATTGTTGTCATCACCCTGAGTCGTCTACCTAGACAGAGCCAGGTCACCATCTCCCACTATCACCTGTCCCCTAACCCTGACTGTCCCTCACACATCTATCTGCACGCTTGACTTTCTTTCTTTTTTAAAGATTTATTTATTTATTTTGGAGAGAGAGGGCAGCCCCAGTGGCCCAGTGGTTTAGTGCCGCCTTCAGCCCGGGGTGTGACCCTGGAGACCTGGGATCGAGTCCCAAGTCTGGCTCCCTGCATGGAGCCTGCTTCTCCCTCTGCCTGTGTCTCTGCCTCTCTCTCTCTCTCTCTCTCTCTTTGTCATGAATAAACAAATAAAATCTTAAAAAAAAAAAGGAGAGAGAGGGGGAGAGAGAGAGCAGGTGAAAGAGGGTACATGCACAGGGAAAGGGGCAGAGGGAGAGGATATCCAAGCAGACTCTTGTCGAGTGGGGAGCCCGATGTGGGGCTCGATCTCATGGCCCGTGAGATCAGGACCTGAACCAAAACCAGAGTCAGATGTTCAACCGAATGAGCCACCCAGGAGCCTCTGCACCTTGACTTTCTAACTCACAGAATCACAGAACTTGCCCACTCCAGGTCTCTTGTGGCCTACTGTGAGTCCTTCTGGGTAATAGGAAGTACACCCTGTAGCCCATTTCAGCCACCCCAGCTCCTTCCTTCAACGGCCTTAAACCAGGAAGATGACGCTCCTATGGCATCCGCCTCTATTCACGCCTTGTTCCCTGGCTGGGCATCGGCTTCCTTGTTATATATTAGCCCCATCCCTCTCCACAAGAGCTAACCTTCTGGAACAGGAGTCTTCAAGCTCAGCAAGTGTCAGTGGGTCCGAGAGGCAGCCCTGGCTTGGAGCAGGACAGATGAGACTGGGTTCTGGAGTTTATGGAAGAACCTATGGGCTTGAGCCATTCTGTGCATGGGCTGGGTGCTGAGCTGCCTTGGACTCTGGTGTTTTCCCTGATGACCAGATTTCAAGAAGATCTCGGGGTGGCCCCAAGCCAGGCTGCTCACAGAATGAGGGAGCACAGTGAATCAGTCAGCTTGCTGAGATGCTGATCCCGAACCCACAGGGGTCCCTTCCCCATGACCTCCCTACACCACAGCTTGCTGCTGCTGCCTCTGGGCCGACAGAGCCTCCCTGGCTGCGTCTTAACCCACCAAAGTTGACACAACACCAGACCCTTTCTGGTCTCCTTGCACAAAACTACTGGATTCAGTTCAGATGTTTCTCTTCTTCTTCTTTTTCTCTCCCTCCAGTTTACTCAACCCGTTTTACTAAGTTCCTTGCTTCCCCAGTTTTGGTAGCCCCAGCACCACTAGTAGGAGAAAGGGCCACAGCTGTCCTTCTCACACCAGAGTCTCTTGTCAGCAACCCTGGAGTCTCCACGTGTCCTCCTGCTGGTTCTCTCCGAGCTTGTGTCATCTGGGCCCTTGGCCCTTGGCCAGTTCCTCCGGCCTGTGCTCCGATTTCACAACGTCTTCCCGAGCTGCTCGTTTTCCCCCAGTGAGCCATCCACATCTCCGGCTTGCCCATGAAGTGAACAGGGATTCCCAGAGAAGATAATTCCAAGTAACTTTGACCTCGTTCTGTCCTTACCCCTGAAGGAAACTATGGCCAAAGGTCACTGTGATTTTCATCTTCTCTCCTCTGCAAACCACCACTCCCTTTATACCCACCGTCATGGCCCTGGTAGAAAGGCTGGCATCTTCCCCGCAGACTGATTCTGCTGTTGGTCTGCAGGTGGCCTCGCCTCTAGCATCGCTTCCTGACTCCTAATCCTGGGGCTCAGACTCTGCCATCTTCCTCCCATCTGGAGGGATTTGTGGCCTTTGGAGTCGCAGTCTCTCCAATCCGCAGTTCTTCAGTGAGCCCCCCTCCCTGACCTTCCCCCCCCCCCCCACCTCCCAGGTCATCGTTCCTCAGCAGGCTGGCTCGCATATCTCCTCGCCCAGCAAACACCTCTGCGGTGTGGTGGCTGTTTTTTCTCCCTTCCTATATCCTCATTCTTTTGCCCCCACGTAGGCAGGTGACAATTTTTTCCCAATATCATCCTCTGAAAAGAGATGCCTATGAAAACTCTCCTTCGGGGCGCCTGGGTGGTGCTGTCGGTTAAGTATCTGACTCTCGGTTTCGGCTCAGGTCATGATCTCAGGGTCCTGGGATTGAGCCCCTTGTGGGGCTCCACACTCAGCATGGAGTCTGCTTGAGATTCTCTCTCTCCCTCTCCTCCTGGCCCTCCCCCTGCTCTCACACACACACTTAGGCATTCTCTCCCTCTCTCTCAAATAAATAAGGCTTTAAACAAGAGGGGGAATTCTCCTTTATAATGCCCCTTAATTGATGCCTTTTTTTGGTTCAACAGAAACACCTGCAATGTGGTAACACATGTGGAGGTCCACTCTAGCTTTGGTGGTACTTCCTGTCCCCTGTGACCTTCAGTATTTCTCAGCTCCTGTGACTGCCCTGGCTGGAGCAGAGGCCCTGGCCCACTGTGCACGGTGATGGGCACACTTCCCCATCACATAAAGAATTTTCTCACTGATTCCATGTCTTATTTTGCAGAGTCCAACTTAGGTCTGGAAATCAGCATTCACTGTCCATGTCACACCTTTCAGCCCAATGGAGACATCCTAGAAAACATCCATGAGGTGATGGAAATCAAATTCAAAGGTAACAAAATGGATGTGTATAGTAGGTGGAGGGGACCTGATGGGGCGGCATAGAACAGGAGACCCCTACCGAGGCCCCAAGGAAAGCAACCAAACTCCCTCACAGAGACGGCCACCTATCTCATAGTAGAGTAATTCTGCATCGCTCCAAAGGCAAGGCGTGTGACTTTCAGTTTATAGATAGAATTTGTTAGCATCTGGGAGACAGTGTAATGTTGGGAAGGTCATGCAGACCAATGGGTCCACCTCTCCGAATTCAGTGAGTAAAAGGGAGACGAGAATACCTCTTTCACAGGGTTATCACGCAAATTAAATGAGGTAACAAACGTAAAACACGGTGCCACAAACGCTCCACATATAGTAGCTGTCTTCCCCTTCCCTAGAAGAAGTGAACTGCGGTGACCAGGGATACAGGTGTCCTGACTACTGAACTTTTCAGATATCTCAGAGGTCACCTGATTCCCACCCAGGAGTCATCTGGATTTGAATGACTGCTTTGGGGCTCAGGGTATTTGTGTTACGATGGAGAAACAGTTGAGAGTCCTTTCTGGTTTTCCAGGCGGTTTCTGAGGCACTCAATCTTTGGACGGTCTCTGGATTTCAGGGAAGTTCTCTTTCCTCTCACAGTCCCGTTTTGGATTAACTGAGGCACACCCAGAGCCAGGTGGTTCCTCAAGATGGAACTAACCAAGCCAGAGCCTGAGGGCAGAGGCTTGTCTGGGAAAAGATGCAGCCTCTCTTGGCTCCCAGGCCCGGGCAGTCCTCTTCCCCTTCACGGGCTTGATTTCAGGCCACCCCCTCCCCTTCTTTTTAAAGCCAAGCATCCAGCATCCTAATCACAGAACCTCAGAGCTCAGAAGACCTCTGGGGTCCTTAGCTACGGACAGGTCAGGACTAGATCCTTCCACCTAGTAAACAGTTATCTTTTTTTAAAATTTTTATTTATTTATGATAGTCACACACACACACACACACAGAGAGGGGCAGAGACATAGGCAGAGGGAGAAGCAGGCTCCATGCACCGGGAGCCCGACGTGGGATTCGATCCCGGGTCTCCAGGATCGCGCCCCTGGGCCAAAGGCAGGCGCCAAACCGCTGCGCCACCCAGGGATCCCGTAAACAGTTATCTTGTTCATAAAGATTCTCAGAAAAGGGGGGGGGGACCTGGGTGGCTCAGCAGTCAAGCATCTGCCTTCAGCTCAGGTCATGATCCATGGGTCCCAGGATTGAGTCTCGCATTGGGTCCCCTGCAGGGAGCCTGCTTCTCCCTCTGCCTGTGTCTCTGCCTCTCTCTGTGTTGCTCATGAATAAATAAAATCTTAAACAAAAAAAAAGATTCTCAGAGAAGGGAACCTTAGATTCAGGCCTCTCATTTGTCTTCGGGTCCTAGTGTCTTTTCCTGGGGTTCAAGGCCCTTCTGTCACCATGTAAATTAAGCTCCTGGTGTTCCTGTCCTTGGCAGTGACGGACAGCAGCCGGCAGCCGCCTGGCACAAACCAGAACTCCTTGGAATTGAGACTAATTCGCTCTTCAGTCTTTCCCTTTCAGGATGAAATAGCAGGGGTCCCACATGACACCCCGAGTTTGTTTGCTAATCTGTGGATCACACGCCTCACGATCTTGTCTGAGCTTCGCTTGGAAACTAGAACTGCACGTGCGAGTTAGCGGTTATTCTGCCTCGCTCCTCGGGCTCCCATTAACATGATTTAAAAAAAATTATTTACTCATGAGAGACACAGAGAGGGGCGGAGACACAGGCAGAGGGGGAAGCAGGCTCCCCGCAGGGAGCCCCACGCGGACTCGGTCCCAGGACCCCGGGGTCACGCCCGAGCCAGGGCAGACGCACGCTCAGCCGCTGCGCCGCCCAGGCGTCCTTCCATCACAACGATCTTCACGGAGACATCGCCCGCTCTAGGGCGACGTCTGTGCCGTGCTGACCGACTCGGATCACAAGAGGGATCTCGCACCCCGAGATTCTAAGTCTCAATCTACAGGGACAGCCCAGAGGAATGTGTTAGCCGCCGCGGGTGCTTCCCAGAAGCCCGTGGGCCCCTGAGCCCCGGGAGGCACCGTGGAAGGCTGTCTGGTCCCGGAGGACAGACACGCAGGGGTCACCAGGGGACCCGACCCCGGGTGCCCCGTGAGCCCCCGTGAGGCCGGGGCCCCCAGCTGCAGCCCGACGGCAGCCCGAGGCCTGGGCCGTGGCCGGATGGCCAGGAACCCCGCCGCCACTCGGCCTCCTTCCCTTCCGCAGGTGTGGACAGCGAGGAGGACCACGGCCGTGGGGACCTAGGGCGCCTCAAGAAGCAGAAGGACCACCACAACCCTCACCTCATCCTCATGATGATTCCCCCGCACCGGCTGGACAACCCGGGCCAGGGCGGCCAGCGGAAGAAGCGGGCCTTGGACACCAATTACTGCTTCCGGTGAGCCTGGGCCCACGGGCGAGCGGGAGCCCCGAGGCCACGTGTACGGGCCTGCTGCTGCTCGGGCCCCAGGCCCAGGCTGTGCTACCCCGGGGTCCTGGATGCTCTTCACAAACATCTCCAGAAAAGAGGATTTCAAGCCTGGCGGAAGTCAGCAGGGGGTGGGGGGGCGGGCAGAGCGTCGCTTAGAGGCTTGGGTTAGACAGACTTGGCCACAGCCTCTTGGTAGGGCCCGTGCTGTACGCTGACGTGTGTTTTGGTGGGGGGAGGTGAATGCAGGCCTTCCTTTTTTTTTCTCTCTCTCTTCCAATATTTATTTAAATCCTAGTGAGTTGACATAGAGTGAAATATTGTTTGGTTCCAGGAGTAAAGTTTAGTGATTCATCACTTACGTCCGACACCACTGCTCATCACAAGCGCCCTCCCTAATGCCCATCGCCCACCTAGCCCAGCCCCACCCACCTCCAGCAAGGCTGTTTGTTCTCTGTCGTTAAGAGTCTCTCTCTTACGGTTTGCTTCCCTCCCTCTTCCCCCCTTCCCATGTTCATCTGTTTTGTTTCCTTAATTCTACATATGAATGAGATCATATGGTACCTTTCTCTGACTTGTTTGTTAGGCCTGATACTCTTTAGCTCTATCTGTGTTGTTGTAAGTGGCAAGATTGCGTTCTTGTTGATGGCTGAGTAACATTCCATTATATATATATGTGTGTGTGTATATATATACATATATATATTTCACATCTTCTTTATCCATTCATTTTTCAGTGGACATCTGGACTCTTTCCATAGTTTGTTGTTGATAAAGCTGCTATAAAGATCAGGGTGCATGTACCCCTTGGAATCTGTATTTTTGTAATCTTTGGATGGATACCTAGTAGTGCAACTGCTGGATCATAGGGAAGCTTTATTTTTAACTTTCTGAGGGCCCTCCATTACTGTTTTCCAGAGTGGCTGCACCAGTTGCATGCAGAACTTTCCATGAAAGAAGTGCTCAGTTCCTTGTGAACTGTCCATGGATGCTCCTGGGGGAAGGGGAATAGGGCAGTCTCCATGTACCAGGGGAATTTGAGCTGGAGAAATTAATGAACTAATTCAGAAGTAGTAGGTAGCCACTATGAAGAGAGAAAGAGAAAGAACCTCTTATGTCATTGAGTTCCTCATTTATAAGCAGGGATGGGGGTGATGATCAAGCACACATAGCACTGACTGAAAGGTAGGGAATGACCACATCCACGAGAAGGTCCAAAGGAGAGAGTGCTTTAAGAATCTGCATCAAGTTCACCTGTGGCTGCAGGAAAGGCTTCAGAAGGGTGCAGAATTTGAACCTCCCCAGATGAGTGAGGTCTGGGCATGTAAGGATGAGGGGAGGGGAGGAAGGAAGGAACATGAATGGATCAGTTTGGCTGGAGAGGAGGATGCCTGGATGGAGCTGGGGAGAATGAATTAGGAAACCTTTAGATCTAAAGCCATGTCTTATAAGGAGCAACTGAGTGAACTAGGGATGTTGAGCTTGAAGGTGTACTAGAGGCAATGCAGTTGTCGCCAACTGTCTGAAGGCTGGCATGTAGATTAGTTCTGTGTGGCTCAGTCAGTTAGGAGTGGATGCTCTTGGCTGCAAGTAACAGTGGCCTGAACCACAAAGGATTCCCTGTTCACAAGAAGGGTTGGTCTGGCTGCCTAATCATGCCATTGGGAATACAGCCTCTTTCTCTGGGTCTGCCATGCTTAGCATGTTGGCTTTTGCCTTCTTGCTTATGGTCACAGTGACTGCTAAAGCTCCAGGTATCTTCTCCGTGTTCAATGACAAGAAGAAGGGAGGAGAGGCAGAGCTGGCGGGTTTCCTCTTCCATCTGTGCCTTTTATAAAGCATAGATTGTTTTTGGGAAAACCTGCCCCTACCCTCTGCATACTACTCCTTATGTGTGATTGATCATTGCTGGGTTACATGACCACCCCTACCTGCGAGAGAGGCTAGGGAAAGGAGTTATCTCGTGCTCTAGACTCTGTAATGGGAGGTGGCAAGGGAGAAAGGAAGTAGGAATGGCTTTTGAATAGACAGCCAAGAGTGTTTGCCATGGTTCACCCTTGGAACTCACAAGAAGTCAGATTTTAGTAGGAAGTTTTAGGTCTCAGCAGACATTGAAGTACAGGCCAGATGCCCACTTGGCAAGGTTTATTGCCAAATGGATTTCTGCAGGGAACAGAGTTGAGATGGCCTGGTGATCAAAATTGGGGTGAATCACGAGTCTAAGGGAAGGATATGCTTCATTTTGATTCAGTGCCCTCCAGATTTGGTCTAAACTGTCTAATGTAGTATGTAAGCTGCATGAGCTGAGTTCAGGTCTCATTGGGTGCTCATTAGGAAGGTTATAATAAAATCGACCTCAACAAAGCTGAGCTGGCTAAGAACATTCAGTGCTTGGTTTTATGTGAAGCAATTTATGTCTCTGCTTTGATCTAGGATGTAAAAGGGGGCAGGGCCACCTTTGCCTTTTCTCTCTTCCTCATGCATCATCTGTATCTGCCTGTTATGTCCTTGGGATCATGGTCTTCAATACAAGAAAAATGCTTTTATGGTATATACTGCTCAATACACTTAAACCTGGGATTCCACTGATTTGGCCCACCTCTTAGGGTGACCAGGAAGGACTCTAGGTACAAAGTATGAGGGAGGGTCATCGGTGAAATTTTTAAAATTTTATATTGGTAGTTGCCTTTAGGTTGACTATAAATGGTTTTTGTTGTTGTAGCAATTTGGAGGAGAACTGCTGTGTGCGCCCTCTCTACATTGACTTCCGACAAGATCTGGGCTGGAAGTGGGTCCATGAACCTAAGGGCTACTACGCCAACTTCTGCTCAGGCCCTTGCCCCTACCTCCGCAGTGCGGACACAACCCACAGCACGGTACGCAGCGGGGCTCATGCCATGTGGGGCCCTGGGGCTGAGCCCACCGGGCCACTCGTTCCAACGAATGCATGAAGGGCTGAATGTTGAATGAGCGAATGATGATGTGGGGCGAGTAAAATCCCTTCGCTGAAGGTTCTGATCTGGCCCGACTCTTACTTTGCCACATTCTGCCCTTTGATGTTTCTTCTCTAGTTTCAACCAGACATTTTATTTGTTGTATCTAAAGCTCTCATAGCATCCTGGAAATTCACTGTCACACCACACCCTGTGTGTCAGAGATGTGCATACACGGCTAGCAAGGGATGTTGGGGCAGAAAGGCTTCTGCCATCAGTTAAAGAACTCTGGTCATCCCAGCCTCTTGCATGTAGAGAAGTCACTTTGGAAGGCAAGGCAAAGCACCCCGAGGAAGCTGACATGAAACTGTGGGAAGAGAAAGGGAGGGGATGGGGGAAGTCAGGACTTTGAAACTAGCTTGCCTTTATTTCCCTCAAGGGGAATCAAAAATAGGGCAGGAATTTGTGAAACACATTTCCTGATAGCTCACGATTACTGCAATGTCTGGGGGCTCTTACACTGGCGCTTACTAAATGGCCCAAAGCAGTGTTTGGTGAGACCCCTTCTCACCAGAGTGACCAGTTGTGGCTAGGAAACCCAGAAGTGGAGTGTTTCTTAACAGCAAAGAATAGTTCATTATCCATTTAAAGTCACCCAGTAGTTGCTATCGGCTTAAGCTGATAAACACCCAAACAAGCAGAGATGTGTACCCAACCCGAAAGGACATCGCTGGCCAACCTGCCCCTTGCTCAGTCTCTGGAGCGGCCCTCGGAGCTTGGGGAGGGCTCCAGGCCCCAGGCCTGGCCTGCCACCCTCTAAATGATGTGTCCTCCCTAGGTGCTGGGACTGTACAACACTCTGAATCCCGAAGCGTCTGCCTCACCCTGCTGCGTGCCCCAGGACTTGGAGCCTCTGACCATCCTGTACTATGTCGGGAGGACCCCCAAGGTGGAACAGCTCTCTAACATGGTGGTCAAGTCCTGTAAGTGTAGCTGAGACCCTGCCTGCGACAGAGAGAGAGGACAGAGAACCGCCACTGCCTGACTGCCTGCTCCTCGGGAAACAAAAGCAACAGACCTCAACCAGAGGCCTGGAGCCCACAACCCGTTGGCTCCGGGCAAAGGGCTGAGACGGAAGTTCCCTTTCGGGACATTTCTCCTTCTTGCTGGCTCTGAGAATCACTGTGGTAAAGAAAGTGTGGGTTTGGTTAGGGGAAGGCCCAACTCTTCAGAATACACAGATTTTCTGTGATGTAGACAGAGGTGATGGGGACAGACGAAGAGGGATGGCAGGTGGACATGTGACACATCATGCGGCCATGGATCTGGGACACCCTAGGGAGGAGGAAGGGCAGAGAATGGCCGGGGACGGGGCCAGCCTGGAAGACACTTCTGAGGTCAGATTTGCTCATCGCTGCCCCACATCTGCTCTAGGGAATCTGGAACATTACACAAGACAAGCATTTTCTTTCAGACAGGTTACCCAGACAGAGTCCCAGAACCGTATCTCATACTACCTGGGATTAAGGATGAATCTGTTGTTTTTGCAAATTGTCCTCTCAACAGCAATCAGCAGCACCAATGGTCATTACAGGGGAGAAGAATCCAGGTAATGTGGTTCCCGGGCCATCAGCGATATTGGGCCATATGGATATGCTGAACTCAGAAGCAGAGGGTGGGAATTAACACCCTCCTGTCTGCCCTCTGGGTCCTTCCTCTCCCCTGCTTCCTCAATCATATTTCCTCTTGGACGTATGGCTAGACACCTTCCAGGTCAGGGTGCACATGTCTGGATTTTGGGTCTGTGCAGTCTTGGGGATTATGGGTTCGCCTCTACCCCCCAAGACCCTGGGTTCACCTGGTGTTCCTGGAAGCAGGTGCTACCAACGGGTGAGGCATGTGGGGAGGTTGCACATGTGCCACACGATGACTTGGCCCCAGACACATAGACTGAGGTATAAAGACAAATACAAATATTACTCTCAAAAATCTTTGTATAAATAAATATTTTTGGGGAATCTTGGATCATTTCATCTTCTGGAAGATTGTTTCTAGAACAGTAAAAGCCTATTCTAAGGTGTAAGTCCTTAATTACTCTGGTCTTGGTTCCACATTCATACATACTAGCAGAGGTAACTGGAAACTGGGGCAGTCTTGAACTCCGAATACATTGCTTAGTGCGAGTACCCTGGCACTGCCTTCTGCCACCTGAGAAGACTGAGCTGGTCTTTGTGCTCCTTTCCTTCTGTGGAGTGTTTGTCCTCAGACACAGAGAGGCAGTGGCTCAGATTTTTAGAAACTGATTTTGACCTACATTTATCTGTGGGCAAAAATCATTTGGTGTGAACCCTTGCACATGGAAATGTGTTCGTTTGTACGTTCACTATCAATAATGAACATTTTTGACAATCTAATCTCACCCTCCAAATCAGTTGAGAAATTAGAGAAACTGTCAATGGCAAATGGCCTAAGGAGATGAGGCTAATTGTATTATCAGGATAAGCTTGCCAGGAACCTCTTGTCAGATTTGGGGATGGGAGAGGGTGAGGAAATACAATTCCATAGTTCTCTTCTGAGGTCACAGATCCCAGAGCAATGCAGAATTCTATTATATTGATGTCCACCAGAAGCAACCATCCGTAATGAGGAACCATCTAGCAGCTGCCAAAAAAATATGTTCCTCTATTGAAATCACCTTACCATTGGTGAAAAAATCTATCTGAAGCTAAAATTTGCAGGTTGAAGGGTCCATGGGATATGTTCTTGCCTCTGTGTATGTGTGTGTATGCATAGTTGTGTATATCTTGCTCCTTTTGGAATGCTCCCCAGTTGAACTCCTGAGTTTGGTCACCAAGACATTCTTTCCTGCTTTTTTCATGCCCGGCCAATTCTAAGAGCTTTTCTCTCAGGCTTCATCCCCGGTGGCACCCATTTATTTCCACTGTATTTGGGGGGCTGTGTCCCTGTCCTAAAATCATGGCTGCTGGCACTCTGATCCAGTTTACCCGAGGTAGCTACCGGGCCTAGAGAGGGGATGCAGCATGCCCAGCCCTCTGGCCATGGGCCATGGCTATCCCAAGCTTCAGAATCTATTCACTTGTGGCAGCTATTCTCAAGTTTCATTGGGCATGAGAAACACCCAAGTGTTTACTAAAAATGCACAATTTCAGGCTGCAGCTCTAGAGGCAGCTTTAGGCCTGGGGGAAGGTCCAGGCTGCCTAAACACTACATTTTGAGCAGCAGTGTATTAGATCTGACGTCATGGATCCTTCCTTGAGGCTTAAATAAGGAAGAAGGTAATAATTTTTCTGACCCTAGAATAAACCTTCCTTCTTATCCAACCTCACAGGACATCACTAAAATGTTGGCCTGTGGCTCATCCTAATGAACCGAGGCAACGAGTTATGTTTCCTGAAGTATCCCAAAGAAAACAGAACACACTGTGATTCCAAATGTTCTTTTTATATTAGAGCTCTATTCTTATCTTTATCAGCGGATACAAATATGGGCAGGGGTCTGAAGTCCAGCCTCTCCATTCCACATGTCACTTACAGGCACTACAGAAACATGAACCATTGTCTGTCTGTCTGAAGAAATACACGTTTTGGGGGAGGGGAGGGAGGGACACTGGAAAAGACACCGTTGTTGGAGGGGGGAATCATATGATCTGTCTTGTTTATTGCCAAGAGAAGTCCGGTACCAGTAAAAATGACACACAGAGAGATCTGGAGTCTGGTCTTAACATTTCATGAGCACATGGTGAGTGCAGTCAGAAATGAGCTCGAGGACCCAACTGTAATGGTGACTTAGGGCAATCCCAAGCAGTCTAGTTGGTCTCAGAGTTCTTTTACTGGGCTCATACCCGCTTATGCCTTCTCACAAGATCTCCATATATCTTATTTCGGTTCTACACATCACCAGGGAATCACGGAGGAATTCTGATTTGTCTCCTAACCAATTCACAACCCAGTTAGACAACAGTTAAGATGGTCCTCAAACTACGAACCAGAAGGCCCAGGAACATCTCGGACACATATTCTCTCTCCTCCCTCAAGTGACAGTCTTCATCCCTCACCAGGAAACAAAACGCTTTGATGTGCTCAAACTTGTTTGCATTCACTAAGAAGTCAATAAAGTCCCTTTTCTCTCTGCCTTGTTGGGTGTCATTTTTTCTTTGGGGTTTCAAAGCTGAGTTTAGAGCACCCTGGTGTAGAAACCCCAGACTCTGGGTCCTCACCCAGTAACTCCTCAGGGCAGCAGTCAATCCTTCAGTGGCTCTGCAGCCTGCCTTTCAACCTTTTCTCCAGTAGAAGCCAGAGAGAGGACCAGGGAAAGGTGAGGAGACAAGGGAGCAGAGGTCAAGTGGAAAGCCATCGGGGGTATGTCGCCTCATTCTGATGAACTGTTTAAGGATGCAGATCCACATGCCACTAGAGGACCTGTCTGCTGCGGGCTGATAATGGAGACATGTGCACATACGAGCTTCCCAGGTACAGGAGCTGCCTGTGGGGAACAGCCTGGACCCACCATCTGCTGAAACCAAATGGAAGAATAAAACATCTCTTTGTAGTTCACATTTCTAAAACAGAGTTTAAAAAATTGCCCAGCAATGAAAGAAAACGAGAAGTTGGTCCCATTTCAGGCTTGTTTGTGAATACTGATTGGTGGGAAATTAGCAAATGGAAAAAAAGAAAAAGAAAAATAGAATCACTTTATTAATTTTAGAAATCAGTAATTCCAAAGGGTGCCTTTACTATGGCTCATGTGGTCAGCGGCACACCAACTTTCCTCTACTCTCTGGGAGACTTGTGATGTATGCTTCCCACATCCCCTGTCCACCCCCCAAATCCTCGGAAAAGGAGAGAACAACTTTCGTGGATAATGTTGGGATTTTAGGCTTGTAAGGAAGTCAAGCTTAATACTGCAACCTGGAAAAGAAGAGGAAGCAAAATGCAAATAGCCAAAGAGCCTCTTTTATATCATCTCTGTGTGGTAGTAGGAGAGGGACAGAGAAGACCTAAGCAGGTTAGGGGAGGGGATAAAAGGGATAAAAGATACATGTGTGCTCTGATAGGGTATATAATGCATCGGTTCAATGTCCCCACTGCCAAGTTCAATCAAAACCCAGCTGATATGTTTTCCTGTCGTCTCAGCAAAAGTCTGGATTGGCTGACTGGCAACAATCTACAGCCACTGTTGCTTGAAGGTTCTGGGGACCAAGGCAGCAAAAAAAAAAAAAAAAGAAAAAGAAAAAGAAAAAAAAAAATACCGTGGACCCCTTGCAGCCCTGGTAGATGCTTCAGCCTCAGTCACACCCCGGCAGGAGCAGGAGGGCAAATAGGTTCTTCCTCTGTGCGACTGTGGTTCATCTTTTAGTGTGAGCAGGATCTGGAAAAGAGAACCAACCACTAAGTGACCTAAATGAGAGTGTGGGGTTTTACTTACAGCAACGTCTGGTTTAGTTAGTGTTACTGAAGACTAAAGAAGTTGTGGCCAAGTAAATGAAGCTAACCACTTTTGCTGGAAACCTTTCTAACACGCTCCTGTTCTGAAGCTGCTGCTTTTTTGGGTACTCAAGTTTCTTTCTTTCTTTGAGAACATTTTATCTTTTTTGCTTCTTAAGTATAAAATGCTGAATAGGTTAGCCTCTTCTAGAAACTGAAGCTCAGCATTATTAGCATTCAGAGTCGAACTCCATGGAAAAACCGCTGTGTATGCTTCTGAGTTTGTCTAGATCTTTGTTGAATTCTGTTGTCAGAATATACTCTGCCTTGTACCCGTCCCCATCCCCACAATGTACACCTATATCTCACCACCCGGGGTTAAAACCTGGACGTTATGGTTACCCTGTGTCCCCTGTGAGGCCCTCCCACTGCCTTCCCCTTTCCACTGTCCTGAATTGTGTGTTTATCTTTCCCTTGTTCACTTTTAAAAAATAGGTTTATTTACTACGTACATTCCTAACTCTAAATATTATGTTTTGTTTTTACAATTTTGTGGTTTTTGATTTTACAGTGCTGCTCTAACTATTATTATACGTGATCTCAGCACACAACTGGGAGAACTTCTTCAGTTATATACTTAGGCCTGTAACTGCTGGGTCATGGCCACTTGCATCTTCAGCTCTCTAAAAATAATGCCATTTTACATTCCAAAGCAGTTGTACCAATTCCCCCCACCCCCAGGGCAGTGGATGAGCTTCCCCTGTGTCTCTACCTCCCCTACATATGGAGAAGGGGTATTGCCTGAGTTTAAAATATTTGCTAGTCCACTGATTGTACAACGGTGTCCTACTGTGATTTTATTTTTTATTTTATTTTTTTAAAGATTTTATTTATTTGCTCATGAGAAACTGAGAGACAGAGAGGCAGAGACACAGGCGGAGGGAGAAGCAGGCTCCATGCAGGGAGCCCGACATGGGACTCGATCCCGGGTCTCCAGGACCAGGCCCTGGGCTGAAGGCAGGGCCAAACCGCCGAGCCACCCAGGCTGCACCCTACTGTGGTTTTAATTAGCCTTTTCCCAGTTAGGAATAGGGTTGAGCCTCTTTTCAAGTATCTATTATGCGTACATGTTTTTCTTCTGTGAAATGCATGGACAAGGCCTTTGCTTATTTTCTTATTGAGTTTACTGTTTATTGATTTAAAAAAAACACAAAACTTTATTGAGATATAAGCCACATACTGTACCATTTAATGTGTATAATCCAGTGGCTAGTAGTATATTTGGAGTTGTGCATACACCACCACAATCAATTCTACATTTTTCACTGAAAGAAGATGAAACCCCAAAACCCTTAGCCATCACCCTTCCACATCTTGTCCTCCACCCCTAGGCAACCACTAATCGATTTTCTGTCTCTAGAGATTTGCCTGTTCTAGACTTTTATATGAGTGGAATCATGCAATATTTGGTCTTTTGTGCTAAGTACTTGACTGAATGACTCACTTTAACTGGTACATCAGTCCACTCACATTTTTGTAATTACAAATATATATATTTTTATTTCCAGTCTTCAGTTGTGTTTTCCCTTTAAAGATGTATTTATTTTAGAGGGGCACAGGGAAAGAATCTTCAAGCAGATTCCCCACTGAGTGGGGACTTGAGATCACGACCTGAGCTGAAACCAAGAGTCAGACGCTTAACCGACTGAGCACCCCAGGCGCCCTTAAAAGCTGTGCTTTCTATTTGTCCAAACTCTTGTTTCCTTTTCCTCCTTCAAGTTTTATAATTTCTATTCTTTTAGCTGCTACACTATTTATTTTTGCATTTGTATATGCTATGTAAAGCTGAAATTAATCATTATCTTCACCTTTTCACTGTACAAGATTGAGATTCCTTGACTCTGATCATACCCTCTGCCTTGATTGACATGATGTTGGTGTTGCATATTTTTATCTCCCTCTTTTTTAAAAAAAATATTTATTCATGAGAGACACAGAGAGAGAGAGGCAAAGACACAGGCAGAGGGAGAGAGAAGCAGGACCCATGCAGGGAGCCCGACGTGGGACTCGATCCCAGGACTCCAGGATCACACCCTAAGCCAAAGCAGAGGCTCAATCGCTGAGCCACCTCGGCATCCCTATCTCCCTCTTTTTTAACTCCACAAGAACATTATTACTTTATTATTATGTTTTTATACATTCTTTGCTCATGATTCAGTGTTTGCATCTTAGACTGTTTCCTGGTATCACACCTTCCTCTGTTTGAGATATATGCTTTAGACTCTTTCCCTTTGTGAAGGTGTACTGATGCCAACTTCGTCTGGGTTTTACATGTTGGAAAACACCTTTATTCCATCATCATCCTTGAAAGACATTTTTGCTTCAAATACATTTCTGCCTATTAATTTTTTTTCATCGGTGGCAACATCACATTGTAGTTTGGCTTCCACTATTGCTGTTGGGAAGTACATTGTTGATCAAACTGGCATTCCTTTGGAAAGCCTTCTTTGCCTCTAGGTGCTTAAATTTAACATCTTTTGACTTTAGTATTCCAAAGTTTCTGTGTGAAGTGTCTAGATGTGGATTTCTTGTGATTCACTATAGCTGGTGTATCTTCCATTAGTTTAGGAATATTTTGTTTTCCCATTATCCCTTCAAATACTGTCCTTGTCTCATTTTTTCTTTCCAGAACTATTTAAATATCTATCGGGCCTTCTCATTTGGTTTTTCATCACTTTTTCTTTCTGACCTGCAGTTCACATAACTTCTTTAAATATATCTTGAATTATGTGGTTTATGTATACAATGGAATATTACTCAGCCATTAGAAACGATAAATACCCACCATTTGCTTCAACGTGGATGGAACTGGAGGGTATTATGCTGAGTGAAGTAAGTCAATCGGAGAAGGACAAACAGTGTATGTTCTCATTCATTTGGGGAATATGAATAATAGTGAAGGGGAATATAAGGGAAGGGAGAAGAAATGTGTGGGAGATATCAGAAAGGGACACAGAACATAAAGACTTCTAACTCTGGGAAATGAACTAGGGGTGGTGGAAGGGGAGGAGGGCGGGGGGTGGGGGTGAATGGGTGACGGGCACGGAGGGGGACACTTGACGGGATGAGCACTGGGTGTTATTCTGTATGTTGGTAAATTGAACACCAATAAAAATTAATTTATAAAAAAAATAAATATATCTTGAATTAAATATTTTTTCAGCTTGATCTAACATGCAGTTAAATCCTCTATTGATTTGTTTTTTACTGTATCTTTGCAATTCTGAAGTACTACATAGTTCTTTTTCAAATCTCTTGGTCATAATTTTAATCTTGATTTTATTCATACTTTCACTCCCTCCTTTAATTTCTCTGAACACATGAGAAAATTTATTCTTTATTGTATGTCTGGTAATTTCAGTACCTTAGTCTTTGTGGGTTTAATATGGTACCTGTTATTTTGCTGACTTTCACTTATGGTGCTATGCTTCCTTATTTGTTTTGTGATTTTAAACTGTGATGTCACAGTTCTTAGACCTTTATCTGTAAGAATTATTTGAGATTTGAGTTGATGGAACATACTTCCAGGAAAAATATACACTTGATTCTACCAGGCTCCTGGGGCCACTGTTAGCTTAGGATCGCCTTAGATTAAATTCTCAGTTTGAGGTTTTTCAGGGTACCTAGGGAATATGAATTCATGCCCAAGGTTACACAAGGACCAATTTGTGGTTATAAATGATCAGGGGAGAGTCCCCTACTCCATCTCAATCAGCACACAAAGGTTCAAGACAGGCAATTTTCTTTCAGTGCCAAAAGAGGTAGAGATAAAAGTGGGAAAGAAGGGTTTATTTCTGGTTGACCTTAAATGGAGAATACAGCCCTTTGGAGTCCTATCTTTATGTGAAGGGTCTCCATTTAGGCGCTCCACCTGTTGTCCCTGACACCTGCCATAATTCTGGTCCAGAGCTGCTTGGATCTCCACTCCTGCCTGCTGACTCAGTTCTGGGGTTATAAGGGCAGGAACAATAGACAGGATAACAATGTTACTGTATTTTTCCCCTTACTGCCTCTGTGGCTATGATCTCTTTTTTGGTAGGATTTTGAAAAACCAGTTACTGAAGTTGTCCATCTTCTTTTTTGCTTTGATGTCCTGACCTGGAAATTCTTTCTTCTTCTTTTTTTTTGAAATGCCTATGGCTCGTACTATTTATATACTCACTTGGCATTTATCAAATAAATGAAATTATATCTTATTAGGTTAGTTTTAAAGTCAACAAGCAACATAATCATAAAATATTATCAGAATTACCCTTAGAAATCTTGAAGCACCTGTAAAATACATTGTACTGGTTTGGCAATTATCAGAGTTCAACAAACCCAATTTGTCAGCCTACTGTTCTCCTATTAGCATAATATTAAATAACTGGCTGGTGCTACTGTAACATAGCAAATAAAAACATTTTCAACAATGCAATCAACATCTGCCCAGGGGAAGTGCACGAGAAGTAGGGAAGTCTGCAAAACTGCTGAGGGAATAGATTATGTCCATGCTCCCTTTGAGCAATATGTTCCCTGAGAGGAATGGTTGACACACTTTCCCAAAATACCCAAAGAGTTGTTTCTTATATATTTTCCGAGGGCAGGTGGCGGCAGTCGGGGGGCTTTGCCTTGCACATGTTGCTCATGTCCCAAGGATACACTCTTTTAAGTGCAGAGACCACATTTTACCAATCTTCACATGACCCGAGCTCCCAGCATCTTGCCATGTACATGTTTACATGGGGCTCCTTGGTAAATACTGGATTGTCTGATGTGGGAAATGATCAGTAGTAGTGCTCCCTATGGGTAGCAGAAGATTTCCAACTAACAATACAAACTTGGCTTCTGTAAACACACAGCCTGGTGGTATACGCAGCAATCCACGCTTCAGATCAGTGCTCC